AAATCTAACTCGACTATCCATTCAGCCTCCTCCATTTGTTCTTTAGCAACTCCAGTGACATATTGAATAAGTGCCGGGCATACTCTTTCCATGTCTAATTCTTTAGTAGTGAACTCATTAGGATTTCCATTGTCAGAATAATCGTTTTTTATCGCTGAACTTGAAGGACTTGAACTGTGCGGCGGGATGGACCTTTGCTAATTTTAACTTTTTCCAATCGTTGATTCTTCGCGTTTTTTCTTAGCTGCACTGCACGAGTATAAAAATCCAAAATTTAAAAACGCCATCACACACGGTGTGTACAGTATTCGTGCCATTCCCAAAATGGTGAAGATCAAATACGTTTTTGACACAAATAATTCATTTTTACAATCGGAAATCTTATACATGAATTTTCAATTTTCAAACAAATAGTTGTTGCTAATAAGCGAGTATGTGCGTACACATTTCTGGTATTTTTATTAGTTACCATACCGTGTCGCGCAAACTCATTACTTTATAAAGAACGAAGTTTACACAATATTGAATAGACTTATTTTTTTTACCGGAATTTTTAATTTTAAGTCCGGGCTTACATTTGTATATTCAAAAGGTCTTCCCTCTTTGAAAATTCCCGAAATTCAGACTTCTCTCTCCGTTATACCAGTCGTTGACCATCGGTATATATATTGGGAAAGTTGCTTTTTTTTTTTTGTGACCGTGCAGATTCCAACAGTCTTATTCTCAGAAGAGTGAACTCAAATGGCAAGAGACATTCGAGTCGTAGTTTCCATAGGTAATTTAATGATTAATATGAGATATCATGTCAATTATTGTATTTACTTAATTAATGGTCGTTGTTAAATAGATTTCGGCACGACGTTCTCTGTAAGTTTCATATTAAATATTTAAATTCTTCGCAATGACACTGGATAATTTATAAATTTTCATTTTAATCCTTAGGGTTTCGCATATGGTACTTTTTTGAATTATTCTTCCACTTTAATTTTCTTTTTATTCAACCAAGATCTTCTATTTATCTAGCCAACAAAGCTAATCCTGAAATTATCACGAATGACAGTGTAAGTTAAGTTTACAATTGCATGACAGGATGGTCAGGATTACACATCTTAAGATCATGTCAGATTACGCGTGGTTCTTCGCTTTTTTGGTGCAACAGTTAACCGACGAAATTTATTTTCACTTCATAACTTAATATCTGATTAAATTTTTCGTAGTGGCCAGGTAAAATTTTCATTCTTCTCTTAAGGATGAACTTTAATTAACAATTAACATTGTAAATATTCGAAAATTTAGAACAACAAGGAACTTTCAAGACAAATACTTGTTTGGCTTATGAC